CCCATGCTCTTCTAAGCCACCATGTGGTTTGTTTGGGACTTAGCATGTTGTATGAACACAGCCATTGTCATCTATAAACCATGGGTTTATAGTATATGGTTCCCCCCCCCCCTTATATTATTATTCATCCAATAATGTACAGTTAAGCAAGATACAGTATATGTAATCCAGACAAAAAATACAGGTAAGACAGATATATTTGCACATTGAATGAATGAATGAATATAACTTTATTATGGTCTTATAATGTGTCAGTATTTTTTATGTATATTGTAAATAGTGATGTCTATTTACAATATACATAAAAAATACTGACCCATTATAATACATTAATAGTGGATAAAAACATCCATTAAGAAAATACATGTTCTCAAACAGTTAGGGGCACTCCCTGGTTTATACGAGTGGAGAGCCAATAAGTATGTGCGTAAATATCATTTTCCAAAGTTTGTTCTATCTCCAAAAATTGTCACAAATTGACAGCTATAATTCTGCAACCAATTTTTTTTCTAGTAGACATTGCAGCAACACAGAATTTTGCCACTGCACGCGTAATAGCTGGGTTTGAATCCTCGAGGAGAAAGTCTATATAAAAATTGTCTGCCCTCCCTGGCAATCTCTCTAGTAAGGGGAGAATATACAATAACCTATAAACTCTACATAACTCAGAGTGCAATAAAACATGTGAGATATCTTCAACTACTCCTTTACCACATATACATACCCGTTCTGCTATTGGTGTTTTTTTATACCTGCCCTGAAGAAGTGCTGATTGGGGAGTGTTAAATCTGGCTCTGAAGAATGCTATTCTTTGTTTTGGGAAGATCAGATCATTCAGATATCTTGCTGATTCCACACTCCCTGTTTGATTCTGTCCCTGATTTGGCAAGCCAACCTATTTAATTCTTCTGGGAACTCCACGTCCTTCATTCTATTGATTACTACTTGCTTTGCTTGGTCAAAGCCTAGGGACATTAGGAATACTGGTGAGAGTCCATAGGAGCCCAGCTTGTGGTCTATTGCCTGCTTCTAGGGGGAGGGGTCAGTCAGTGCTAGAGGGGTCAGTCCCTCTGGGAAGAAATGCATTTTTAGCCATTTTTAGCTATTTGCACATTTGAAGTTTAGGAAAGTTCATTCAAAGCTACACTTTAGATGGTCAATGGTTAATCACTGCTAGGACTATATAATCTTTCACTGAATCTGGCTGCTTGACCAAAGAAAAGCAGATCCAAGTTATATTTGACAGTTCCAAGTTATATTTGACAGCTAATAATAGGAGTGCATTCCTTCTAGGTTAACTGTGGCATAGATCTATTTGCTGCATTGCTTTATGAATATGAGGGATTTTGGTTAAGTGTCAATTTGGTGTAGTGGTTAAGATGCTGCTGGTCTAGAAACAAGAAAACTGCCTTAGGCATGAAAGCCAGCTGGGTGACTTTGGGTTAGTCATACTCTCTCAGCCCAACCCACCTCACAAGGGTTATTGCTGTGGAGAAAATAGAGGAGGAAAAATTATGTATGTTTCCCAATCTAAATTACTTATAAAGTAATTAAGATGGATAAAAATAAAGTAAATAAATGAATTTGTTCCCATCACCACAATCAGGAAGGTGTAGCCTATTTGTGCAAAAAAAGAGACACCAAGCAGGTGGGCTAACATTAGGTTAAACTTAGAGAGAGTCCCTGCTATCCCAATGACTGTTTTCTTGCCGCATAGTGTTTGGATTTTAATGTCTCACACAAATCTTATGAGAATCAGCAAACAGAGTTGGGAATGATATCAAGAAAGACATATATTCCTCAATAAATATTGACTGTGTATAATAAATATTAATGCATACTATACAATGAGTAATATCAGGAAGGAATGTACAGATCACCAGAGCAATGGCTAAATGCCACTATAAAGTAAAGGGGTCCCCACTTATTTTACTCCACTAGTCATTGCCAACCATAGGGGGCAGTGCTCATATCTTTTTCAAGGCCATGAAGCCAGCGCTATCCGAAGAAATTTCCATGGTTATTTGGCCAGCATGACACCAGAGTTCTGTTAGTCTTCCCACCAAAGTGGTACCTATTTATCTATTTATGTTGTATGCTCTTGAACTGCTAGGTTGGCAGGAGCTGGGGCAAGGCCAGGAGCTCACTCCATTGCATGGCGATCGGATCTTGAACCTGGGCTGCCGGCTTTCCAGCCAACAAGCTCAGCATCTTAACCACTGAGCACTGTGTTGCCCTACTATAAAGTAAGGATATGTAAAAATTGTTGACCTGGTAGTGGAACATTCTAGAGCAGTGATGGCTAAGCTTTTCGGCACTGAGTGCCCAAAGCACACACATCCCCAAAATGCAATATGCGCACATCCCACACACATGCACTCTGCTCCCACGCATGCGTGCACATCCCCCCTACGTGTGCCCCTAGGCCAAAGTAAATGGGAAATCCAGATTCACTTAACAATCATGCTACTAACTTAACAACCGCAGTGATTCATTTAACAACTATGGCAAGAAAGGTCATACCTTGTTTAGCAATAGACATGTTGGGTTCAATTGTGGTCGCAAGTCAAGGACTACCTGTATCGTAACTCTGCATATGAAGAACAGTCTTAATTAAACTTTAGTACCACATCTTCATATCTTTATTGGACAGGTTCCCAATGATGCCTTGGTGTTTTTACAATTCTGGTTAGATATCATATTTACCTATTGTATTTTTGCTTTGAAAAGAATATGATTGATGGATTGATTGAATTTATATTACCGCCCATTCGCCCATGGCGACTCAAGGCAGCTTACAGAATATAAAACCACAATAAAATATGCTATTAAGAGGAGGGGAAGAAGGGGGAAAGGGGGGGAAGCTAGTTCCTCTAAGTTTATCAGGTTTGATCTAAAAATATTTGCAATGCCTAAATACCCTAATAAGGTAATAGAAATTTTTAGCTCTAAGAGTTTGGTGTTTCTTTCTTCTAGCATATGCAGCATGAATTAAGCTGGTTATTAAAAAAAATAGGTGTGGAGGTTTTGAAAGTTTTTCTGTAAATCATTTCATTGATCCTTTCAAGTTATATTTTTAAGCATTCTTCTTGGAAGTCCTTTGCCTTGAAATAAATGGAAATCTGTACCTTTAGCAGTTAACTCCTTTATTTTTTAAGAGTTCCAGGATTGGTTGTACATGTGCTACAACATGAGACTAGCATTTGCACACTGGGCCATTCTACTTCAAGATAAAAATGAATCATTTTATGGTAATTGCAAATGTAAACAGAAAGATCAGTGTTACTAGCCACATCATTATGTTTTTTGGCAGCCTTATTGGAGTGCTTTGCCATTGCCTTTTTCCCTAAAGATTTTTTTCCAAAGTAATTTACAACACTGGAATTACCTGGTGGTCCAAGTCTTAACATGGTGCCACCCTGCCTGCTTCTGGGCCCTAATAAGGTCTGTCAAATGTGGCTACCTGTTGAAAAATACAAACTCACTGAGAGATGTAAACACTCCCTTTGTGGGGAACAGAAAACTAGTCTATCTGGGAGCAAAGCTCTTCTACCTGAAGAGTTAGTTTTCCGGTTTCAGCAATGCTTGCTTTAGGTTAAGTGAAAAACCCAATGCAATCCTAAATTGCATTAACAGAGGGATTCAGTCAAGATCACGTGAGGTACTAATACCACTCTATAAAGCCTTAGTAGGACCCACAGCTACAATATTGCATCCACTTTTGGTCACCACACTAAAAAGATATTGAGACTCAAGGTAAACAGCACAAAACTTGATTGCAGGAAATATGATTTCAGCAACAGAGTGGTCAATGTCTGGAATACTCTACCTGACTCTGGTTTCTTCCCCAAACCTCAAAAACTTTAACCTTAGACTGTCTACTATTGACCTCACCCCTTTCCTAAGAGGTCTGTAGGGGGCATGCATAAGCACACCAATGTGCCTACCGTCCCTGTCCTATTGTTTCTTTTTATTTTTCTTATATGTATCCATTTCATGTATTCCTAACTATGTTTATACTTATACATATTATCTTATAATCGATTGACAAATAAATAAATAAATAAATCAAACTCTAGAAAGCGTGCAGAGAAGAGCAACAAACATGATTAGGGGAGTGGAGGCTAAAACATACAATGAACAGTTGCAGGAACTGGGCTTGGCTAGTCTAGTGAAGAGAAGGACCAGGGGAGACATGATAAGCGGTCTTCCAATATTTGAGGGGCTGCCACAGAGGAGGGGGTCAACCTGTTTTCCAAAGCGCCTGTAGGCCAGACAAGGAATAATGGATGGAAACTGATCAAGGAGAGTTTCAACCTGGAAATGAGAAATTTTCTGACAGTGAGAACAATCAACCAATGGAACAGCTTGTCTTCAGAAGTTGTGGATGCTTCATTTTATTTATTTATTTATTTATTTGTTTATTTATTTATTTTGTCAAGTGATTATAAGATAACAGGCATAAGTATAAACATAGTTATGAATACACGAAATGGATACATATAAGAAAAATTTAAAAAAAACCAATAGGACAGGGATGGTAGGCACATTGGTGCGCTTAAGCACTTCATCACTGGAAGCTTTCAAGAAGAGGCTGACTGCAATCTATCAGAAATCGTATAGGGGTCTCCGGCTTGGGGAGGTGGTTGCTCTTCCTTAAAGCGCCAGTTCCTCGCACACCCCATTTCGAAACAGCTGCCGAAACTCCCCAGGAAAGGAACGCCGCGGCATTCGCAGGCAACACGTGATTGGCTCCCACTCCGCCAAGCCTTGCAGCCCATTTTCCGCCTCTCTTCACGGCAAGAAGGGAAGGCGTCCTGCAAAGTCCCGCCTCCTCCCCTGCTGCGGTTGGCTGGAACTGCTACCAATCCGCTCCAGGAGTTCGGAATTGTCGTTCGTGTCAGCGGTGTAGAACCAATAATCGGTAAACAGGCGGACGAGCATTGGAGGCGGGTGATGTCAACTCCACCGAGTGTGGGTGGGGTTTATATTTAACCCGCCCTCTCCCCTCCTCAGCTCGCAGCAGCGGCTTCTCGGTCCCAGCTTTAATTGGAAGCCAGCGGTTGTCGGGAGAGGTGAGTCGAGGGGGAAGCTTGGATAACGGAATCCAGCAAGTGGAACCAAGGAAGCCGAATTGGGATGCAGGTAGGTCTCATTCGCTGCTCAAGTGGAACTAAGGCAAGGTTGTAGGTGGTGGAGTAGAGATGCAGTTTCCAGAAGAGGCTTTAAAAGTATAAAGCAGTGGGGATGGGGTGGGGGTGAACTGTAGGTACCTATTCAAGTGGTGGGCTTTTTTCTGCCTTCCTGCTTGCCTCTCTTTTTCTTCAGTCGTCTTCGCTTTGCACCCAGGACTTGTGTTTCGGTGGCGGGGGGGTTGATTTTTTTCTGGACAATGGCTGTAGATGCTGGTTAAAGAAATGGAGTCTCCATAAAAGTAGACTGCTCTTCTCGTCTTTGGGGTGGGGGGTCGCTTGTGGGTATCACTTATAGGGATGCAGATCTTTGGGGAAAGGGGAGGTTTTGTTGATGGCAGAGGGAAAGGGAAGGATAAGCAGGTTAGGATGTGGGTTTCGAGTAACTGGATTCTTTCCCTAGATTGTCTGATAGGATGCTGACAATATGGATTTGAGTGCCATAAGGAGCATTAAGGGGTGTTTCTGACCAAATCATGCATGAAAAGTAAAAGTAAATCTGACTTTCTGAAGGAGATGTAAGGTCATCACAAATATCAGGGGCCTGTGGATGGATCCACAGGATGTGGTCTGCTAAAATTAATACTAAGAGAGGAAGGAAAGGAGATGCATTGAGATAAGACAGAATATCACTTTCAGAAAGTATTTGTGAAACTTAATGGTAGCTTATTAGATTATCTTTATTTCATGTAATAATGACTAAGAAGCCACCGCCTAACTCATACCTAATTTATTAAATGTGTATACTACACATCTCTGGGCGACTCGCAACAATTATGGTAAAATAAAAGACATTAGACAAAAGACAGCAAGCACTCACTTAAAAGCCTAGGTGAAGATAGCACATCCCAACTTTCTTTGAATATAAAGTTGGATGGATTACATAGCTGTCTGAGAGCAAGTCTCTGCCCAGTGTTCATTCCTTATGCATGAACTTTCAGCCTTGGATTTCAAGGCTCTTGAAGGCCCTCTTTCAAAAACATGTTATTTATTGCTTATACTGACATAGCAAGTTTCCAGGTTTTTGTTTGTTTCATAAATCAATAATGCCAACTGCAAATAGAACATAAGAAAGCTTGATAGTTTCCAAATTTAATACAAAAATATGCTCGTGGACTAGTGGGAGCTCATATATTCTTACAGAACTTTGACAATATGGCTGGTTGATGTTCAATGGGTTTAAAAAAACTCTTCAGAATGATTTCAGAATTCACATAACATTGCCTACCTAATGACAATATAATTGCTTTTAGAATTTAGTATAAAGCAGTTAAAAACGTGTTGAGATATGGTGTGTTGAAGTGACTTGTTACCTGTAGGATTCCTTGTACATTAATAAAACTAGCTCATAAAATTTCTTCAGTAAATTGTGTAAGAATTTGGGGAAGTGCACCTACATGAGATGTTGGAGAACTACAGCTCAAGGAAACTCTTACCTGGCCCTCTTGATGTAATGAAACTCTGTTTTTACGCAGTGCATTAGGTCACATTAGCTTAATTATGATTTAGTTACTGTTGTGGATGAATTAATACAGCATACCTAGCCACAAAACACAATGGTGGGATGGGTTACATCTTTTAGGTAATAGCTGGGTATGTGCACATGTTGATCAAAAATGAGGTTGGATAATTTGTGACTCAGTGTATTGCAGTGTAAAGTTTGAGTACAACCTTTCTAGTGTGGCCTATCTATGTTTTAGTGTGTTGCATGAGCTTATGAGATAAGGTTATTTCAATGAAATATAGATTAGGGTGTTTGTAATCAGAGTCAGAAAACAATGTGGAACTTATGCTCTAAAGCAAAATTTGTTAGCTGTTGGAGTAAAAAGCATCAAACACACAGCACAGCAGAGGGCAGTAATGTACATACATTAGCACATTCATGTTTCTGCTGTAAGTTTCCCTATTTCTATACTTATTCCAGAGAAAAACTGTCAGCGATTTAGCTTCATGTCCCCAAAATGTTCCGAAGATGTAGCTTACCAGCTACTTACAACTTCAACAATATTCATTGGCTGAAGTTACACTAGGTCACTAACAACAAATACTATAATAGTCTCATCCTCTGCATGAAATACATTTATGCAATATATCATGTGACTCTTATTGATGACAATCTTAAATGACATTTAACATAAAAGAGAGAAGTAGGGGCTGGGCAGATGTGATGGTGAGAGCGGAAACATATGACCCTCTTCCTTTGCAGCTGCTATTATATTTCCATATGTGCTCATATAGGGTTTTTGGCTTTTTACTAGCATAGGGAAAGTAAAGCTAATACACAGGAAGGAAGAACAAAATGAAAGTTTTTCTAAGTTTTTGAAAAATACATTATGTCTTTTCCATTTTTCTATATTTAAGGTGAGACCAGTATGATCCTTGAAGAGTCTATGAAATACTTTGTCATTGCTAACATTGGACGAGCTGGCGGTGTAAGCCTATCCAGGGACTTCATGCTGCTTTAAATAAAAATCTTAATTGCCCTGGGTTGTAAAGTGTAAGATATCCTTTCAGAGAAAAGGGCAGCTCTTCTTACGGGCAACCAATAACCTAGCTGTCCTACAAGAACATGAACTTGAAGTTGGGAGACGGCAAGATGTTAATCAAGCCTTTCATAATCACCTAGAGTCACATAGCAGCATGTCAGCTCTGACCGAACTAGCATTCTCCATTCTAGAAAGAGGTAATATAAGAGTTTGATTTTTTTTCCTTTAAAAGTCTTGATTATAGAAACTGACTACAAAGCTGAATTCAGATTTTATTTTGTTAATCTTGTTTTTTTAAAGCTTGGATCCAAATTCATTTCATGCTATTTTTAAAGACTATTATACAAAGTGCCTTACTGAAGGATCTCTTTTCTCTACTCTGAAGAGCAGCCGAACTGTTCCTAGCAGTCACGGTGAAACATAACCTGAAATCAGCAGACCGCTTTGGATTATGTTCTGAACATTGCAGACCAAAGAAATCAATAATCTGGGCGTTTTACATTGTGTTTTAAGTGTGCTGGATATTCCTTTCTGGAGGTTAAATTACAAGAAAAGTGAACCGGAGTGGATTTGATTTGATTGGAAACTATTGTAGTTTCTCTGCTGGCTCTGTGTCTGGCAACTCCAGTTCTGAATTGTGCTTGATGGGGGTTTTTCTTAGGGGTGCCAACCTTTCAATTAAGGACAGAATATTAGAGTTGGGGGACTTGGCTTCTATGTGCCAAAAGCCATATCAGCTTAACCCCCAAACAGAAGTCTGTTGTCCTAACAGTTGCCTTCAGTGCTACATAAAGAAGAACTATATAATTGTGCAACATAACATCTAAGATGGAACTAAAAGAGGCTCATCATGCCAATGGAGTGTTGCTGCCCATTGTGGCTGGGCCTATAGACTGTCTATCCAGCCCTGACCGAGAACATCTTGTTGAGTCTTCTGATTTTTTAGAACCAGAAGAAGGAGGAGGCATGGAAGTGGTGGTGATAGAATCCCGAGCCAATGCAAAAGGGGTGCGTGAAGAGGATGCCCTGTTGGAAAATGGCAGCCAAGCTACTGAAAGCGATGATACTAGTACAGACCGGGGTCCAGAACCAACCTCTCCTCTCAAAGAGACTTCTTTTTCTATTGGTCTACAAGTCCTTTTTCCATTCCTGCTGGCAGGGTTTGGAACAGTAGCTGCTGGGATGGTGCTGGATATTGTACAGGTAAGACTGAACTCTTTTACAAAGTATGGTATGAGATTCTTATGAGTCTGTAACTCTGCTCCTTGTATAAGTTAAATACTAAACAAGCACTTATGTGTCTCTAGAAGTCTTAAAGTTTCCTTTTTAGTTAGTAAATTGCACATTCTGGAGTCAGACATATTGTTATTTCTTAATTGATTCTTAAATAAGAATCCCACCTTAAAAATTAAGGGAGAAAGAATGTTTGCAGTTCCTGAATGAAACTATGTTCATTCTCTATTCTCCTATCCATTCAAGATCTTTCTTATAATTCTCAATTTTAAGCAATTCCAATAAGTTTCTATCTCTTGTTATCAAAAGAGCATTTTAAAATATCTTCAGGATTCTACTCAAAACTCATTTTAAATAGAATAAATACGTTCTAATTTACCATAACGTTTTCAGTACTTTCTTTGTATCTTCAACATTGTCCATCTGGGATGACTCTAATTGCAGTAATATGTCATTAAGTAGCCAATGATCAAAACTGGTAAAGATTTAAATGTTGATAAATCAGAGCAATTGCTAGGTGGCCAAAAGATATAGTTGAGAATTCAGAAGCATCCTAACGTTTTGCAGTGTGTTAAGTCCTGATTTGGCTGTGCCCAAATTCAGGTTCTTCCTCCTGTGCAATAGATATTAAGACAATTGAGGCTTCCAGCAGACTAGTTGAAATCTTAGCTGACATGTGAAAGTAAACCATTTTTCAAATAGAGGAACTGAATTTCTAAGATTCCAATGTCACTGTCCTCTGAATTACTTTGCAATGAGAATGTGTGACTGGGTTGTATTAAAGTTCAGGATTATAAGTTGTTTGTTTCCTTTATTCGGGAATAGATCTTTAAATTTGCAGAATCTAATTTATGGCTTTTATAGGAAATAGGCAATGGCATACTATTATCAAGTGGTCTTGGTTTAAAGTGTTATGTCCAAGGAATAACAGTTATTTCTTAAGCAGTTATAACATTTCCTTCTGTTACAACACCTATTCATCTTAGCCAGCATTAAATATTATACTCAGAAAAAAAGTGCTTTTGGCCAATGATACATCACTTTGAAAATTTATCCATTAATATATCAGTTTTAATTTTTTTAAATTAGGTAAAGAGACGGCTGTTGTCTGTCCTTTTACCTCAAAAATGCTTTTACAGGTAGTCCCGGGCTTAGGACCACAATTGAGCCCAAAAATTTTATTGCTGAGTGAGACATTTGTTAAGTGAGTTTTGTTCCATTTTACAACCTTTCTTCCCACAATTGTATGAATCACTGCAGTTAAGTTAGTAACATGGTTAAGTGAATCTGGCTTTCCCATTGACTTTGCTTGTCAGAAGCTAGCAAAAGTTGGTCACATGAACCCAGGACACTGCAGCCAACATAAATATGATTCAGTTGCTAAGTGTCTAGGTTTTGATCCTGTGACCAGGGGGATGCTGCAACAGTCAAAAGTATGCAAAACAGTCACTTCTTTTAATGCCATTGTAAGTTCGAACAGTCACTAAATGAAATGTTGTGTGCTTCAAATTAGCATTTTGAATTGAAACCCCCTGTGTTTAGGTGGTCTATCTGTAGCCATTGTGTGAAACAAATTTTGATTTTAAACTGTTATTTCTTTTATGGTGCTTCTTTGTTTTATACTTGTGGACTGCCCTGACAACCTGCTGCCAAAAAGCCTGTATAAAAGTTATGAATAATATTCCAATATATCAACTAATTAAGTCATAGTTTTTGAGGTCTAAGAGATATGTTAGGAATGGGGGGTGGGGGAGAGAGACTTTAAACTAACATGAGATTTTTTTTCTTAGGAAAAGTAGATTAGGCTATACAAGTATAACTATTAAATTCTGGTGGTTAATTTTTGGGGGGACATGCTTACAGCTATTTTTTCTGCTTCTGCAGTTCTGTTCATCAGCTCCATGAAGCCAATGTTCCTGGTGTTATGAAATACGTACAATTTTATACTTAATGGAGAGAATCCTGGGCAAAAGATCACTGTGATGGAATATAGTAATTTGGCACTTGGATAAACAGTGGCTCTGTAATGATGATCAGGTTACCCCCTAGCCATTTAAAGTTCTTCAAGTATCTCTTGGTACTAATCAAATGATTGGTTTGCTAAAGGGGTGTGGTAAAGACATAAGTTAAGATGGTTTTGCATAATTCTGAAAAATGCAGAAAGTGGAATGGTCACTGTTTTATGTAAAAGGACTACCTCCTTGTGACTTCATGGATAGTAGGTACTGTTTACGTAAAGTGAATTGTATTTCTGTTTTGCATACAGTGAAACATCTCTTGAAGCATATTTTGGTTGCTTTAATGGACATGGGAATCCAGTGTTTTTATCATTTCAATTTGAACCAGTTTTTCAATGTGATGTGGAAGTTCTCTGAACTATAATATACAAATTTGATCATTTTTTAAAATTATCTACAAGTAACCCAGAATCCTACTTAACCTCTGATCAGATTTTATAGTATTTGGTGAGTTGCTTTGATCACCAAAGCATGCTTATTTATAGATAAAAGGTTAAAACTGCTTTGGACAAGCTGAAATTCTAATACTGTTCAAGAGCACGAAGCTAATGGATTGTGAGACACTAAATTTCAGAACTGAAAAATTTCCATCCAGCAGATTTGTCTGCATTAACACCTACTTGGGAATGGTTACTGAGAAATCTATACTATGGTTTCACAGGTCATGTCTTTTGGGTATATCAGATTTCACTGTTATTTGCTATTCAGAAATGCTCTTCCCCAAATAAAAATACATAATTGGTATTTACAATGATCTGTGAAAATACAGGTAACATAACTAAGGGTAGATGAATTTGTTAAAATTATGTCAAAGCTTGTTTTGCTGCTGTTACAGCTTTGTGTGCCAAGTATACAAGAACGGCATGCATGACATTTCCATCACTTACAGAATCTTTCTACTTATTTATCTAATTGTCCTGAGACACAAAGCTGAACTACTGCCTAATAGTTGTAATTTTCCTCATTTTGCTTGTAATTATCACTCGTGGGAGGTGAACTGTAAATAATGTGTTGCCTGAGGCAGAATAAGTGCAGATCATATTCTCTTCCTTCCCTTCCATCCTTTGGAGGTGATTTGAGGAACTTGTCTTTGGATGTTGAAATCAGAACAGATTTCCTTTCATGGAACAAATGCAATGTTCTGAGAATCAGAATTGATGAGAGTCAACATGTGATTACAGGAATAGGATGTAATTAATATAAAAATACAAAATTACTATTGTAACAAGTCTTGTAACAAGTATTAATGGTTCAGAATGATCCATGTCTTTTTATTTATTTAAACATTTCAAGCAGATAAGTTTCAGAATAGGCCAGTACAGCCTCTTAAACCAGCATGGATATTGACATAGATGGATTTTTATGTGTCAGATAATTTAGATTCCCTTTAGAGGCAAAAGTAGTTGATGAATGATTTGGCCTTTGTTGATAGTACCTGGAGTAGAGGTTTTGAGATTTTATAGTTAAAGATTACAGTAGAAAATGCATAATTTTGAACAGATTTGACTTTAGCTAGTTAAAAGTTGCATAGGGATAAAGGAAGGGCCTAAAATATATGGACTTGTTATTGAAAGGCCATACATCTTTTGCTTCCTTTTCAATCTAAGACAAGTCTTTTCTCTAAAATATCCTTAGAAATAACTAATGATTTAAAAACATGAAATGTAAATTGAACAAATAAATATAACAATGCATTCTAAGAGTTGAAATTCTCCCTTTTCTTTCAACCAAAGTATTGTTTTTCTTTAACTGAAAGACATTGTGATTCTGAATGGATTCAGTAGCACACAGATTTATAAGTATGCACATAAATGTTGTCAGATGTAACCCCACAGTGTTTTCATGTATGTAGAAACTGAGATATTTAACCCAAGAAGTAGTGTTGCATGTCTCTGCCAGCCAGCACTAAAAATAATCATTGTGATAGAAGAACATGTTGGCTGGCCTCAGTCCATGACTTTTAAAAGATTGCACTACAGTGAGTCAAAAAATATCTGTTACAGGTCATGGTTTAATATCCCTTTTCTATGGGTAAAAAGTAACACTAAACTTCATAGCTTTTAATGTTTTTTAGTTTTAACTGAGGAAACTATGTTTTTAAAGAACAGATCTCTTTTTTGAAAGAAAAGAGTCAATGGTTTCCTAAGATTGTTATTCTCTGCTCCAAATGCTTTCCGTATCTTCAGCTGTGAATTGATCATCTTTTATCATCCAAGCACAACTGACCTGTGTGGCAGATAGAGTAGGTATTGGGCCATAGATATTGCATCGGAGCTAAACAGGATAATATTGAAAGTAATACTAAAGTAAAACTAAAGATATCTGTAAAAGCTATACTTTTATATCAGTGTGTGTAAAGTAAAAACAAATTTTCACTTTGAAAGTACTGATGTATCCTGACCTGGCAAACACCAACTTGAAAAGAAGTCCATGGTGGAAGTCTTATTGCTAAGGTGTTATGTAAATTCAGCAACTATAGCTTAATCAACCATGATTAAATAAACAGCGGTTTATTGCAATGTATGAATCAAGCCATTATGATAGAAACCAATGGTGAAGATTTAAAACCAAGATTTTTTTAGACAAATCTAAGAAATATCAGTGGTTATGCCTTTATTGGTAGTTCAGGATAGAGGCAATAGGCTACTCAAGTGGTCGCCAACCGGTGAGCCGCAGACCACCGGTGGCCCATGAGAAAATTTTGGTGGTCTGCAGAAATGTCACCCCAAAGCACCCCGCTCTGTCTCTGCAGACAGAAACCCTGGGAAAATCCAAAAAAAAGTCTGCAGTAAAATCCCCCACCCCATTTTCCTACCGATCGATTGTTCTTTATTTGGGATCGCAAGATACCCTTTCCCCCCCCTCTCTCCCTCCCTCCCTGAAAACGGAGCTGAAAAGCAGATTAGTGAAGGAATGTGGCTGCCTTGGAGGGTGTTTTTGTGTATGAGAGACATCTGTGTGTGTGTGTGTGTGTGTGTGTGTGTGTTAGAGAGAATATCACCGCCAGCCCTCCAAGGTTAGATTGGATCTCTCTCCCCCCCCCCCCCCCCCCCC